CTTGGCTCAGACTTGGCACCAGTTGGCCCTGCCCCCTGCGTTCCTCCTGGGGCTCCGGTCCCCCAGCGTGCTCACCGTCAAGGCCAGTCGCTGGAGGGAGGGATTTCCAGGCAGGATTAAGGTTCAGGATTAAATCAGGGCCTGAAAGGGGGTCGGGTTGGAGTGGCGGGGAGGGCTGGCGGGGAGGGCTGGCGGCTGGGCTAATCCCAGCAGCTAATCTGCTCCTCCTTCCTTCAGCAGTTACTGGCCTTGACATTCCCCAGCCCCCCAAATCCGTTTCTTACCCATCGCCCAGTCCCGGGGGGAGGCATTCCCTCCATTTTATGGATGAAGAAATTGAGACTCAGAGTCCAAGTTACTTGTTTCTGATACATAGAAAGCGCTGTAGGCTGGGAATGTGGCCAGTCTGGACACTTACCCCCTCGGCACCTGTGCAGACCGCTGGTCCCCAACGCCCCCGCCGCCCTCCGGTGCTGAGGGAACCCTGCTCGGCACTGTCTGCAGGGAGTCTCTGCTTCAGTGAGCTCTCTCTTGGACAGGATTCGCCTCTGGAGGTGGGGGTCCCAGCCCACACCCCCAAGCCTTTGCCAGGCAGGGAGAAGGCGGGCAAGAAGGCCCCTCCTAGAGCCTCACATTTTCACTTCGGCCCTCCTTTCAAGACCTCCCACAGCTGCTCCAGCTTCCTCTCCAGCTGCTCCTCCGTGCCCTGGGCAGCAGGGGCTCTGGCCCCTGGAGGCAAGCCCCTCTCCGAAGAAGTAACATTTCAACCTCAACTCATTCTTCAAGGCCTGATTCACGGGGGTCCCCTCTTCCAAGAGGTCAGAGCAGCAGCTCCCTTTCTGTGGACTCCCATAGGCCTCCTAGTTCATTCTTCTAATATTCGGCGGGGAAGGGAAGGCTACTCGTGCAGACTGCCTACCCCTTGTGTGCTTAGCTCATTTTAATTTTCACAACTCTTTGGGGGTAGGACTTGACTTCTCTTTCTTCCAGATGAGGAAGCCGAGGCTCAGGTGAGTGAATGAGCTGTCTAGGGTTACACGGCTGGTGACTTTTATGCACACACACTGGGCAGTGAGACATCTGAAACTCGGTGTTTATGCCATATCCCTTCTCTGGGAGTTATTGCAGCTCTGGGGTCCCCACAGAAGGGCGAGGGACCTGAAAGAGAGCAGGGCTTCTGTCTAACCCCTCTTCTGCCACCCCTGCCAGAGCCAGCCAGGCCGCAGCGTGGACGCACTCCCAGGCCACTGCGGCCCCAGCCCCGCCTGACAGGATGAGCAGCTCAGATGCGGGGCTGGAGGAGGAGCCGGGGCTCAGCATCACCCTCACGCTGCGGATGCTGATGCACGGGAAGGTGAGTGGAGTGGGGGACTCTCCTGCGCCTCGGGAGGGGCAGAGGGCAAAGCAAGGCAAGGCCTGGCCAGCCAGAGTTTGATCTCAGGCGTCCTGCCTGTCTCCTGCGTGGGGGAGGGGCAGGGCCTGGGCACTGGTCCCGCCACCTCCGACATTACTCTTGTCTTGTTCGCAGGAGGTGGGCAGCATAATCGGGAAGGTAGGTGCCTGGTTCTATTCTGTGCGTCCCCTTCAACCTTTGCTTCAAGTCCGTCCGGGAAAGGCGGCACTAGCCTCTCAAGCTAAGAGCCTTTCTCTGTTTTGTCTCCTGCAGAAAGGAGAGACTGTAAAGCGGATCCGGGAGCAGGTGAGGGTGGGGTGTGGGGAGGGGAAGGGGGATCCCTGACCCACCTCCTCCTTGAACCCCACCGTTGGGGGGACCAGCGAGCGCCCCCCGAGGGTGGTGGTTTCCAGCTTTGCTGGGGCCTGTGAATGGGGCAGGCAGACATGTTGCCGGCGAGAAAGCAGAGGGGCCTCGCTGCCCGTCGCTTGTCCTGTCCCCGCAGAGCAGCGCCCGGATCACCATCTCCGAGGGCTCCTGCCCCGAGCGCATCACCACCATCACCGGGTCCACGGCAGCCGTCTTCCACGCGGTCTCCATGATCGCCTTCAAGCTGGACGAGGTCCGTGGCCGTCTGGGGTAGAGGCCGAGGCTGGTTCCCCGGGAGGAACGTGGCTCCCGCTGCACATCGCGGCTGCGGGTGGGAGGGGAGGCTAAGCCCAGGCAGGTTTCTGACATCGGGCGGGACTCCAGGGTAGGCGAGCAGCAAAGGCGCGCACGGCCAACCCACAGTCTTCCCGCCCAGGACCTCTGCTCTGCCACTGCAAACGGTGGGAACATCTCCAGGCCTCCGGTGACCCTGCGCCTTGTCATCCCCGCCAGCCAGTGTGGCTCACTGATCGGGAAGGCTGGCACCAAGATCAAGGAGATCCGAGAAGTGAGGGGAAGGGGATCTTACCCCCGGAGTCCCACCTCCGGATGCGGGAGGGGGCCTGGGCTCATGGCTCCCTATCCCCTGCGGAGCTCTGAGTCTGGGCAGCCCTTCTCTGGGCTATGGGAGCAGCCAGAAGTGGCTTCTGTTCTCTGCTTGCAGACTACGGGTGCCCAGGTGCAGGTGGCAGGAGACTTGCTGCCCAATTCCACGGAGCGTGCCGTCACGGTGTCCGGGGTGCCCGACGCCATCATTCTGTGTGTGCGTCAGATCTGCGCTGTGATCTTGGAGGTGCTGCTCTGGGGCAGGGAGCGGGGCGGGGGCTGGGCCTCGTCAACCTGAATCCTGTGCAGGTGACACCAGGTGGGGATGGGGCGGACCAGGAGCTCCGGGATGCGTGGACCTGGGGGCAATGGGGAGGGCCTTGAGAACACAGGGCTCTCGGGAGGCCAGGGTGGCCTGAGAGGTCCTGAGAGAGCTGTCCCATTTGTGCCTTCCAGTCCCCACCCAAAGGAGCCACTATCCCGTATCACCCAAGCCTCTCCTTAGGTACCGTCCTTCTCTCCGCCAACCAGGTGAGGGGAATCGCCTGAGGGCGAAAGTGTTACTGAAGAGGCACTGAGGTGGTGGTGGGGCTGGAAGGAGGAACTGAGGGTCCAGGGGGAGACAGGGAGCGCTGACTCTGGCCAAACTGCCCTTGACCTGTCGTAGTAACTCCTTTCACCCACTGTGTCCCCACAGGGCTTCTCCGTCCAGGGTCAGTATGGGGCTGTGACGCCAGCTGAGGTGAGTGACCCCAGCCCAAGGCACCGCTTCCCGAACCAGGCCCCCCCTGATTTCTGACTCCTTTTCTTTGGCACAGGTCACCAAGCTCCAGCAGCTTTCGGGCCACGCGGTCCCCTTTGCCTCACCCGGCATGGTGCCAGGTGAGCAGCCCCTGCGGAGGGAGGCAGGGGCAGACCCCGAGGGGCCAGGCAGCCCCCCTGGAACGGATGTGGGGAGGCAGGAAAGGCCCACGACCACGCCTGACCCCCCTCTCCTCCCCAGGACTGGATCCTGGCGCACAGACCAGCTCGCAGGAGTTCTTGGTCCCCAACGACGTGAGCAGGGCATGCGGTGTTTTGAGGGTGGGTGGGGAGCCCGGGCTCTGGGCCTCGCCTGGGGCTGAACTCCGCCCTTCCCCCAGCTGATTGGCTGCGTGATCGGGCGCCAGGGCAGCAAGATCAGCGAGATCCGACAGATGTCAGGGGCGCATATCAAGATCGGGAACCAAGCAGAGGGCGCTGGGGAGCGGCACGTGACCATCACTGGTTCGCCAGTCTCCATCGCCCTGGCTCAGTACCTCATCACTGCCTGGTAAGCGGGGGGCGGGGGTCATAGGTCACCAAGCTTAGGTGCTGGAGAAAGGCACAGGTGGGGTGGGGAGAGCTGACCTGGGTCCTTCCTCTTCCTGCCCCGACCTGTCCGGTTTGCTCCATGCCGCCCCCCACCTTCCCCTCTCATCTGCCCCTCATGCCCTCTCTCCCCATCCCTGGCTCTGTTCCCTGGGTCTTTAGCTCCCCCATTTCTCCCCTGAGCACCGCATCTG